TACCATGGTGCCAATAATTCTGACCATGTGTACTTACTATAGAGTTGGTTAGGGTTTGGTTTAGGGTTAGTTACTTGTAATTATGCATAATTTACTGTTATTACTATATAGTAAGCACATGTAGTGTAACTACGTCACCTTAGAATGAAGTGTTGCAGATGATTGTTAGCGTGCTTTATGATTGTTAGCGTGCTTTGGCCGCTCTTGTCCTGTTGAGCACATTACACACACAGTCTGGGTGGAGCATATGGTTCTTGTTTGGGATGCCCTGCTACTTTATAGATGTGAGCTAAAGTCTGTAAGCACTTGAACTTATTTTCTCTGCACCTCAGAGCGAGTCTCCACTTCGTGTCTTTCTCTTTTACAGACAGATACTGCTAGACCATTATGTACATCTCTTCAACCTGTCAATCAACTCACATGGTTAAACTGTCTATTAAACTTGGCTGTCAAATGAAATGTTTAGTTTGGAAACATCTGACAGGAGTGTAAATTGGCCCCTGAATGATTTTATAAATAAAATGAATAATCAAACAGACATTAATAATAAAAAATAATATAAAACATCATTCTACACTATAGATATTTGACAGAAATATGATGTCTTCAAAACTCGCTGCCACATTCCATCTGTGGAATTTTGAAGAAATGTGTGTTTCATACATTCCAGGCATTCTACACGTCCTGCAGACTTTAAGAGTGTCAGTCATCATTATATGTGTGTTTTAAAGTCAGATGATGAATGGTTCCAGGTGAAAGGTGACCAGGTCAGTGTTAAATGAAACTGCTTGCTTTAAACGTCTTTTTTTGGAGAGGCGAATCAATCTTCCTTCGAGAAATAAGATGTATTTTGAATTTTAAAAAAAAGTTTGGGATTTTGCATATAGGCCTATAGCAACCCTGTAAAGTCATGTTTGGTCTTTTGTTTTCTAGTAAAAATATGCATTTATCTAAACAATATTTCATTTTTCTTTAAAGAAAATAAATTGGGAAACTGCATATTTTTTTAATATATTTTTAAAATCTTCTATTTTCAGTATAAATATTTAAACACCTTTGAAACAAGATAAAACATACTGCTAAACAAAATAGCTTGGGTGTTTTTTTAGTTAGAAAATATATATATTAAATTATTATTATTTTCTCCCATTGAATTTTTTTTAAAAGAATTACAAAAACAGTGATGTTTATGCATGATTATGCAATCTCTTTTGGTTTTACTTGTATGTAACTTCTTGTCACACGTGTTAGCTAAGTTTCTTAGTTTCTGTTTTCATGGGCCTTCATATGACACATACAAACAAAAATACTATTACGTTCGTAATGTTTGCGGGTCAATTTGACCCTCATAGGGAGCCATTCAAAAGCAACTGTACAGACACAAAATAAAAACATTTATTTTCTGTGTGTAAGGGCACTTCAACTCCAGTTCTAACGTGCAAGTGTATCTAAAAGTGATCTAACCCTAACCAAACACACTTGAAAAAGCTAAAATCACAGTGTTTAGAATTATTTGCAAATTACAGATGAAAATCTTTGTCAGACACAGATAGAAAAATAAGCTCTCATTTCAATATTCAAGATATCTAAAATACCTAGCTTTTAACCAAAACTTTTATGTAGGTTTTTTAAAGGAAGCTTCACAGAGCCAATAAATAAATAAAAAACATTTATTTGATGTATGTTTTTGTTATGTTTGGTTTCTCACTTCCCTGTGAGTGAATAATGAAACTAGGGAACTAGGTCTTAGGAAACTAGGGAAACATTTTTTTTTCATTATACAGCAAAATTGTATTGTTCAGTTACGATGTTCAAAGCATAAAATTGTAAAAAAAAAAAAAAAAAATTGTAAAAAAAAATATATGCAAAAAAAGTCAGTACACTGTTTATTTTCCAATTTTGTCAAAAATTGGTTTAAAAACATTTTTATAAATCATATTTCAGATTTAATGTTTTTGTAATGTTTGACAAATGTTGATATTAAAAGTTTACAGCTTGTATCTAAATCTTTGTTGTTTTTCATAGTGTGATTTTTGAGGAATTGTATTGAATCCAATTAGGGTCAATTTGACCCGCTCCATAAGGGGTGTACACAGAATTCGAACAGTGCACAAGGGTTAAAACGGAGAAGTTGTGACAAGCATGTCGTTGTGACCTTAGTTTCCCACCAGTCATCAGTTGTAATGGACACTCATCTAATCATCACACCTGTTCGTTATCATCTCATTATCAGTGTGTGTTGTAGTTGCTCTGCTTCACCCTTCAGTTGTCAGTTGTTGTTTGTGTTTGTGTGTAGACACGCTGTTACTTTGCCTTCATCTCGTGTATGAGTTTGTTTTCATTAAAGAACCCTTTTGTTTATTGAAATCTTTTTGGACTCTCCTTCATCTTCATATTCATCTCGTAACATTTCTATGGGTTTTTTATGTTTTTTTTTTGTCCTTTTATTAGCTTGACAAGCCAAGGACACAAAATGCTTTCATTTTATGGAAAAGAGCTGCGTATTTCTCCAAAACATCTTATTTTGTTTCATCCTGCAGGAATTGGAACAACATGAGGGTGAGTAAATAATGGCACAATTTTCCTTTCTGCATGAACTTTACTGCTATATAAAGCATGCTTTACAGCAGTCCTGTATAAAACATCTCCGTCAAAGGAAATGTTAAAGAGAAAAGTGATTTGAATCCTTACACAGGATAAAAAGTTTGATAAAATGTAAAAAATATCTGCCATAGGGATGAAAAGCAACAGTAGATATAATATCTGTTATCTGTAAGTCAGTGCATGTCTTTATCTTCTGATAAGATTGAGTATAAGTACTTCAAGCCCGTGGAGGGGAGCTGCCCCTCTCACTACATCCATAACCGCCTCAAAGGAAACCAGAGAGAGAGACAATCCAACAAACGAGAACCAGCAGGGAAGTGGGCTCCCCGACATCACAACAGACCAGGGCTGACGGCACGCTTTGAATCCAGTGGTGTTACACTGATTGGAAGAGAGTGCAACAGAGACGTGTGGTGTCACTGCCTCATGGCGTGCCTCAGAACGGCCAGTGTCTTCCCCGCTGCATCTGGTGTGTATTTAGTTGGATGTCATGAGTGCAACGGTGCCTATCCCCCCTCCATGCACTTCCAGCCCGCTTATCAAACACAGTCACACAGAGCCAATTCAAGAGTTCACAGCCTCACTGGAGCTGCACACCTCAGCTCTGGGTCTTTGACATGTGTGCATGACACAGCGTCTACACCAAACGAGAACGGTGCGACATGACAAAAGCAAATGGAACCCATTATAATCAGCGATGCTGTCTACACTGGATGTGGCGTGGCCCGACACGACGAATTACCGTCAGTAAACTGATGCCCTGGGCTACTTCTGACATGAAGAACAAATGGATTTGCAACGGTCGCTTCGTAGCGTCCAGTGTAGACAACCACAAGCTGTTACGGGACATCCGGTGTAGACATACGCTGTCATATAACGCATATGTTCAGTTACTGTAAGTCCCCCAGAGAAGCTGTAGGCTTCAATACCATTGTAGAGTAATATCAGATGCTAATACCATGATAATTTGAAATATACCATGGGTCCATCTAACACAGTTATTGTTTGTAAGGATAATTATGTTTGATGAATGTTGCTTTGAATATACCATGGTACTGAATGATTACCATATTAAGGTAGGCTACCATGCAATATACATCAAAAGTACCAAAACATACTACTATTTGGAAATGTACCATTGTAGTGTTTTTGGAAATACCCTCTTGGAGTACCATACGAAATACCATGGTACAATAATTTTAGGACCATGGTGTATTTCAATGTACTATAGTACCCCCTTCCCATGGTAACATGTCCAAAACACCATAGTAGATTATACCATGATACTGTTTGGTACTTATTTTGTAAGTGCTATCATGTGATTTCATCACTTGACTAAAAAAGTACCAAGGTAATACCATGTTTTTTGGATGAATGCCATGATAGTACCATGGTATTATTTGTTGTACCTTGGAGTAACATATAAAATACTACAGTACATATTTCAAAATACTATGGTATTCCTTTACCGTAGTAGTACCATGATACCATGTCCAAAAAAACCATGGTAACTTTTGGTATTTTTTGTAAGTTATATCATACCATCATCTAAAAAATTAAAAAAAAAACTTTTTTGTTGAAATCCATGGTATTCTTCAAATTACCTTAAAGTATATTGATGACCTAATTCTTGAATTATTGAGAACATGGTGACATTAAATGAATATCAGTCATTTATTCTTTTTAGGTTTTGAGTTAAAAAGGCAATTCACTGGAAATGGATGCAGCAGTCGGGAGAAAACCTAAAGAAAGATCTAACTGCATACTAATGGAATTTAAAAGTGTGTTGTAAACAGCCCTCTTGCCAATTTGGAAGCAAGAGTAGCCTAATTACCCTCGAAAGCTGTTTTCACTGACTGTTTATGTCTGGTCATTTTCAGTCTGATTCCTGCATTTGTTTTTTGTGGTACATTTGCTGTAAGTTAAGACAGGTCCATGAAAAACTATAGATGGCAGCAACAAAACGTATTTCATTTATATATATACAGTATAAGCTCACTTTTTCCCACCACAGATTTTTAATGATAGAGAACAGGAAGGATATCTGCATGATCCAGGCCACCACAACCACAGCAAACTACAATATGTCTCCCAATGTGTTTGGAAATATAAACCTAAAACGTCTAAACCGTCTAAATATAGAGGGATGAAATAGTTGGGCTAAGGATTATGGTTTGACGGAAAGGTCAAAAGTTGAGTTTTGCCTCAGGTATGCGAAATTAAAGGTGGAATACACGCGAAACAACATCCTGAAACGAGCCCAATTACTCAACAGCTGAAAAGTAAATTGGACAGATGTTTGTGGAGATCAGGTGATGTGGGCAGGGTGAGCATCATGCTGTTAGCGATGAGTTTCCATGAGGCCGGCTCTCTCTCAGAGGCAGTCTTTCAGGCAGATGTTACGGAACCTGTTCCTTGTCGAGATGCAGTGGCAACATTTGGCTCTCCTCTCGCTGTTTTGTCAGATGCTTATACTGCCGGTAGCTGCGGGGAAAAGAAGTGGTAAGACAACTTTTATCAATTGATCATTTCTATTTCATATCTGCTTATAAAAGAATGCAAAATAGTATTCTTGGAAGTACCTTCACTGATAAAAACTGATTCTGTGGTGAAGTAAATACTACAGAAAAAAACTAAAAATTCTATCTGAGTAAGTTAGTTCAGGCAAGCATTTAAAAAAAACAAAGTTAGCGCTCAATTTAATCTTGTAGAAATTAAAGCGTAAATTTCAACGTTAAAAAATGAAGTAAAACCAACTCAACTTTCTGATATACTGGTGTTCCCATCATGCACTGGGGCATTAATAATTAACAAGGTTGCACTTTTCACTGTTTTCCAGCTATATTTACACTGTTGTACCATTGCTTTTATTGTTGGGTTTAGTAACTTGCTGTTTTGTGACATCTGGAGTTCATTCTACTCAAAATGACACATTAAAAATGATCTAACGAATGTTACCGTTATTGTGTAATTGTAATCTCTGTGTTCTGGTGGGCACCACATTACTTCTATTATGTAGATATGTTGTTTACTGTTTTATTTACTTGGATGTTCTAAGTAAAGCTTACATTTTCAAAGCATGGCTTAAACTAGTGTTATATAAATGTACTTGAAAACATAAATTGTATACATTGTAAACTTTCACTAAGTAGAAATGACTCAAACTTTAACTGGCTAAGTTAAAGTTACTTATTTTCTTTGTTAATTGTACTTAACTTAGTTAAGTGGATTTAACTTATTGCCATATGTGAAATTAACTTAAATATGGGTGCAAAATCTTTCAAAAGAAAAATTAAGTAAATTTAACCTTTTTTCAGCGTTGGAGTTTTAAATGCACAATGGTAGTGCAATTCATGTGGCATGGTCATTTTTTGTAACAGTAATTTCAATGTATGCACCAATACACAAATATTGCATTTTTATTTAGACAAATGTTATTTTTTTTTTAATGGAAAGAATAGTTCCGTCTCCCAAATCCGATTAGATGAGCCAGATTCAAAGACGTTTAAATGTGATTTCACAGGTGAATGATTATATGTTGAATTTTATATTAATGTGAGGAATTGCTAATGTTGCAGTGATTCCCTGGACCTTTTAATATGACATACTGTATGTCTGTATTGTATTGTATTCTTGTTGTTGTGTTTTGACATCCATGTTGAAAGAAATAACTGAATAACCTACTGAATAAGCATTATAGATTAGCTTTAGAACTGACTGAGATCAAATTAAAAATGACGTTTTGTGAGTGGTTTTAAAACCTTCATTTATATGGGATGTGTCCAATTGGGAGGCACGGGTCTAACAGCTGAATGGAGTTGATAGCGCTGTGTTTATGAGTCTATATAGTGTCTTATCCGTTCAGTGCTGCTAGATTTCTCTCATTACTGTGATTTGTTGTCATCTAGTAACATGGAAACAATGTTACAGCAGCTATCCATGCTACTATGACAAGTGCAGACCATGAGAATTTAAAATAGCTAATAGTCCAGTAACAAGGTTTGTTGATGCCCCTCATCAAAAAAGGTGGCTGGAACCGGCGAACATTAAACATACTTTAACCATAAACAACAAAATGAAAGTAAAGCGGCGGCCCGTCACTGACGACTGCCGCAAAAACTAAAACAAAAAACATAAAGTCCAGGTCTGGTCCTCTCTTATCCTTCACTGTCGTCACTTCCGGAGCTCCTCCGTGGGACTCGAGGCCGGTGTGGTGGGCAGGTGACACTCATTAACACGATTCCCACGGCTCTCGGCCACAAGTACTTTTTACTGAAGAAAATGACTGTGCATGCCTGTAAAAAAAGTTCTGGGTGGTTGCTATGATGTTGTTAAAGAGTTCAGGGTGGTTGCTTATACTTCCCTTAAAAGACACCCTTGTTTCTATGATATGTCTCTCATTGTGCTGGGTAAAAATATAGATTTTCCAGCTAATCAGAATCTTTATTTAAACAATCGCTACTATCTGATTTTAATGATCCCTAAGCATACAGTATAACAATTCAAAATAAGTTTTATTTAATATTAAGAGTGCAACCCTATTGTGTGCGAAAAGAAAAGATGTTTAGGGCCTCTGGTAGATATGGCAATAGTGAGTGATTGCGCAAACTTCACCATATGAAAATACTTTTGATACAGCATGCTAGTCATTATACATAAATCTGCAACATTGCTAAAAAAACAACAAAAACCCTTAAAGACAAATATTTTCTTTGCAGTGCATTTAGACCAAGGTTTTTTTTTGTTGGTGTGTCTGTTTTAAGTGTCTCTTTGTATATGATAGTGGAGTTACATTTTACATAATATGATATCATTTTTAAATATTTTTGCTATAGAGCTGATATTGTGGCTTTTTGATGCGATACTGTAAATAATCCACTTTTCCAAATGTTAGAATTAAACATCCATGAATTTCCCAGCATGAACAGACAATGAAAGTCTGAAACTTGATCTTTAAACAAAAAGAACATTTCTATCTGACTAATATATTTAATTGAATTGTTTTATACAGTATTTTATATAGCACATATCATTTTGCAGCTGATGTCTTATCCATGATGGGTTCATTTTTATGTGCTTATTTTCTGCAGAACATGACTGAAATATAGACCATTTGGTAATAAACGTTGATGTACGGCAGTAATATCTATCAGCTGATTTACCATTGATTTTCCAGAGTAGTCACAAAGCTTTAGATTGAATTTATGAGCCTCTACATTATGCATTGCACATAGACCTTTCAGCCTCAACCATTAAAGAGCACATTCACTTCTCCATAAGCATTGTAGAAGTATCTGGCCTTCATTTCTTTCTTGTATTTTCTCCCATATTTTCTCAATTTCATTTGATTGACATCCATGTACAAAATATAGAAGGATATAATGATGAGAATGCAGCAGATGCGTCTCGGCTTGGCTCACCGACATCTTTTTAGACAGTGGTGTCTCTCTTTATTTCTCTAATGAAGGACATGAAGATAAGAACCATCTGCCACTTTCCTCACATCTCCCCCCTGCGAACCCTCTCTAGTGTCTCAGTGTGACACAACTCACAGACAAGAGCCTTCAATCTCCAGTCTCTGGCTTTGGCATTAGTCGGATGTGAACATGCATGCACTCTGTACATTAAGAACACATTTTGTGAAAAGAATAAGAGAGACTGAGAGAGAGTAAATGGTTATAGATGCTTTTATACAGTAGAATTACAGTGAGAAACTCTTGGAGCAGTGCAGGGTTAAGTGCTTTGCTCAAGGGATGATGAAGGCTTATATCACTTTCTTTAACCAGGGATTGAACCAGTAACTTTGTTTACTGGCCACGACATTTGACCACTGTTACGAATTCAATATTAACTCTACTCAAAGAGAACAAAACTACCCGTAACAATTAACAGGGATCTGATCAACAAGATCCCTGGAGTCCCCGCTCTCACTCCCAAGGCTTCAGAAACAACGGAACAGTCTTATAGTGCAAAAAGTATATTTATTAACATAAGTAGCTAAAGAGCCACAAAGTTCAGGAGGGGGAAAACAAAACAAAGCTAGCTAATTTAAGGATACTAACCTGGAAATCAGATAACAAACAAAAGATACAAAGACTTCCCTCCCTACTTATCAAAAACAGGAGAAAACAAATAATAAATAAAAAAGAGGCACCCACCTCCCTACCATGCTCCAAAAGGGTTTAACATAATCAATCACAACTTAACATAAGGTTGTGGTTCACATCAAATGTCTTTAACATGTACTAGTAGATCACAGTAACACATCTCTTCATCAAGGAAGCCATGAGAGCGGGGAGCTGTAGATCCATGATTCAGGAGACTTAAATATAGCGCCAAGCATTCCCGTCACCAATCAGGTCACTCGTTAGCAGCTCCACCTGTGAGTCATTACAGTGAGAGAAAGAAACGAGAGAGAAAGCACACCAGGGAAACCTACACTGTTTTCCCCAACAACACAAGGCAAATACACTTCCACGTAACACCACTATAGGCCAATTGTTGTTGCTCTTCCTTAATGGGTTTAACCATGGTTTTAATGATAGAAAAATCTAAAAAGTGGCCAAAAATATTTTGCTAAATTTTTTAAAATGTGTTTAAATGCATTATAAAAAAAATAAAAAATAAAATAGTTACTTATGTTTACTTAATTTTTTTTTATAAATATATTACATTAATTACATAAATACATTTTGTTCCAATTAATAAATAAATTGAAAATGACTTTGAAATGACAATTGATTTCAATGACAATATGTATGTAACTTATATATACACACAAACCAAAAAATGAATCATGGGTCTTGTATTTTTCATTAAAAAAATGAAGGTGATAATTAAAAATATTGTGTAGCTATATTTTAGTAAGAAAATTGCGGTTCAGTGTTGTATAGAAAATATTGAGAACATTTCACTAATAAAACCAAGAGATACATTTTCCTAATTTTTTTAAGGAAACATACACAATTTTGAGGCTTGAATTGAGGAACCGATTAAGCTGGTAAAATTAAGGAAAAAGGGCTAGCAATTTATTTTAAGAGAATTAGCTCAATTATGCGGTTTTATTTAGAGACCCCATTGTTAGTTCCCAGCATGCTTTGCACATGGCTGGTAATGGAGAGGAAATATTGAAATTAGGTGTTATTTTATGTGTTTTTGAGTAAAGGGAAACATCTGTTATGTGCTGTGTTAGCGGCATACAGTCTTTTAATAATGCAATATAACTCAAAGTCAAATATAAACAGGTTATTTCCATTCACTCTAATACACACATTTTTGAGCGTCAACTTAAAATAAAAAAGTATATTTCACTAAAAATATTAAATTCATTGTATCATAGACTAAATAATTAAGGGGATTTTATATGATTTATTCAGGTAGATTCCATGAAAGAAATTAAGCCTTAACTACTCAAAAATATTATGTGTAATATTGTTACCATAATTTTTTTTAATTAAATAGCAGTAACATTTTTTACAGTGTACATTATTGAACCATGGCAATTCACACGTCAAAATTAAAATCTGTGCTGCCCCGACAAAATGCAAGATGCAAAATACTTTTTTGAGTTTAGGTGATAGAAAAAAACCCGGCCCTTTTCAAGCAGCTAAAGAGATGACATGCGTGTTTATGGACTTTAGTTTAGAACGTCACCTCAAAGCCCCATATGTCAGCGCACAAGGTGTAATGTGTCAGAGAATATGATTGCACATTAATCCCAATGCACAGTCCGAGACACGTCTCCTTGCGATGCTACATTGCCTGTTCACTAATAAATCATTTGAACTGTTTTTCAGAGAGCTGGCGACAGGAGTGCAGGAGCTGTCTGGAGTGTTCGAAGGAAAATGGCTGCCTGCGCTGCTCGGAGCGGCTCTTCCTGTTCCTGAACCGAGATGGCATGAGTCACCACGGCTCCTGTCTTCACTCCTGCCCCCCTGGACACTTCGGCCTCCGCGCCAAAGATCTCAACCGCTGCATGAGTGAGTCCAAATCAGTAATATCTAGAAGTCCAAAAGTTTTCATTTCTTTTATTTCTTTTTTTATTTATATTTTGTAAATATATTCTGTGGGATGAATTTATACAGTGAAATGTGTCTGCACCAGAAATGTGTCTGACAGACGAGTAAACAATAATAATTATGTTTTTAAATTTAGATGTCCTTTATATTCAATCATATAGTTTTCAATCATATAGTTTTTTTTAAGTTTTTTTTACAATCTAATTGTTTATGTGTTTCTTTGGGATTTTTAAAGGAATTCTGTGAGATGAGTTGTCATGGAGAATGTCATGGAAAAATGTCATGAGCTAAAAGTATCTAATAATAACAACAATAATAATAATGTTAAAATATATGTCCTTAATATTAAATCATAATTTTTTACAATATAGTTATTTGTTTATTTGTCTGTTTGTTTGTTTATTTCTTTGGGATTTTGTTTGTTTGTTTACAATGAATACTTTATTTCTATATTTTATTTAATAATCATAATATATATTTTTAAATAGGTCCTTAATATTAAATCAGACTTTTTTTATTTGTTTATTTAAAATTAATATTTTAAAAAGGAATTCTGTGGGTAATAGTAATTCCTAATAATATTATGCCATTTATGTGCGTTCGTTCCTTCGTTCCTTCCTTCCTTCCTTCCTTCCAAAAACCTTTCTTTTTTGGTGCCATTCATCTCTTAACTTAATCTCTGAACTTAATATCTTGAGAAAGCCTGTAACAATACCATGACTGTAATCCTCATATATCTCCCAGAATGCAAAGCTCCAGAGTGCGAGAGGTGCTTCAACAAGGACTTTTGCACCAAGTGCAAGGGTGGATTTCTGCTCTTTAAAGGCAAATGCTTCAAAAGCTGTCCAGAGGGCACATTTCCTCAGTCCACAGACTGTGTGGGTAAGAGCTTTACTCGTTTACAGACCTTCTTTATGGGTCGGTGCCATTAAACTCTCATTACCATACTGAAAGAAACCTATCAGTCATGTTTTACGTGGAAAAATTACATCAAGATGTTTTCTCTGTGTGGCAATAAAAAGCAGCAAATTTGGGATTTCTGGTTGCATTTACTAGTGTATTCACATGCCATTAATTTGATGTTGTGCAAAAACTTACTGACACAGTAGCTTTGATAAAAAAAGATAAAGTCAAGTCGCATTTAATTATATAGCACTTTATAAAATACAGATTGTTTCAAAGCTGCTTTACATTAATAAACATGGAAATAACAGAATTAATGTTGCAAAGTATGAGGGTGAGTAATTACTGACAGGATTTTCATTTTTGGGTAAACTAACCCTTTAAGATCTTTTTGATGAAATCTGAGAGTTTCTGTCCCTCCATTGACAGCTACGCAACTACCCCTTTAACGCTTCAAAAAGTTCATAAAGAGATCGTAAAACTAATCCATATGATTTGAGCGATTTAGTCAAAATTTTCTGAAGAGACACGATTGCTTTATATGATGCAAAGATTTAATTTAGACTTTTTGAAGCGTTAAAGTGGTAGTTGCGTAGCTGTCAATGGAGGGACAGAAACTCTCAGATTTCATCAAAAAGATCTTCCTTTGTGTTCCGAAGATGAATCAAGTCTTATGGGTTTGGAACGACATGAGGGTGAGAAATGAATGACAGAATAACGGTATTGTTGTGGTAAGCTCACACGAAGATGAAGATACAATAACCCAGTCTTTATTTTAATCCAACAAACACAGGAACTCACGTAAGATTAAATGCTTACCGCCAAGTTATAAGTACCTATGGAAGCTTGTTTCCGCCACAGAATGAAAAATAAAAAAGGTAATTGCGACTTTATATCTCACAATTCTGACTTTTTTTCTCAGAATTGCGTGATATAAAGTCGCAATTGTGTGTAATAAAGTCAGAATTGTGAGATATAAAATCAGAATTGATTGATATAAAGTCGCAATTGGAGGTTATAAAGTCAGAATTGTGAGATATAAAATCAGAATTGATTTATATAAAGTCGCAATTGCGTGTTATAAAGTCAGAAATGCATGATATAAAGTCGCAATTGCATGTTTTAAAGTCAGAATTGTGAGGTATAAAGTCAGAATTGATTTATATAAAATCGCAATTGCGTGTTGTAAAGTCAGAATTGCGTGAAATAAAGTCACAATTGCGTAAAATAAAGTTGCAATTGCGTGTTTTAAAGTCAGAATTGCGAGATATAAAGTCAGAATTGATTTATATAAAGTCGCAATTGCGTGATATAAAGTCGAAATTGCGTGTTGTAAAGTCAAAATTGTGAGATATAAACTATTCTGAGGGGGGAAAAGTCAGTCTTTTTTTCCCTTAGAATTAAGTTTATATCTCACAATTCTGAGAAAAGATGTCAGAATTTCGAGATATAAACTCGCAATTATGTGTTATAAAGTCAGAATTGCGAGATGTAAACTCGCAATTGTGAGAAAAAAAGTCTCGATTCTGTCTTTTTTTCTCGCAATTGCGACTATATTTAATTGCGACTTCATATCTTGCAATTGCGACTTAATTTCTCACAATTCTGACTTCATATCTCGCAATTGTGAGATAAAAAGTCGCAATTATTTTTTTTATTCAGTGGCGGAAACAAGCTTCCATAAGTACCACTTCAGTTCAATAACAATGTCGATGTTGCAAACCTCATCACATCAGGAATAGCTCATATTTTGCAGAGTAAGTAAAGATTGGTAATGCAGTTTGCTTTTATGATTCAGTATTCTTGATCTCTTTGGACTCCAGAAGGATGTGTGTTCCGTGTGTTTGGCGTCTGGGGTGAATGGAGCCCGTGTCAGCACAATGGCCTGAGCTGTGGCGTCAGATGGGGGCAGCAGATCAGGACCCATGAGCTGTCCAGCAAAACGCCTGAAGAGACAGAAGTGCTATGTCCACCTCAGACTGAGAGCAGAAAGTGCCGGATGAAGAAAAGGTGTCCAAAAGGTAAATAATATTTTTAGCATTGTTCATGCCAGTTGCAGAATCTCTTTCAATAGCTGACATAAACCCAATGTGACATTATAAAGCACAGCGATCCTCTTTAAATCCTCTCGTTTCCACATCGAGCTTCTCTATATATCGTCTTTCTTGTAGCGGCTTGCTGCCCAATGATTTACACATTACACTAAACACAAGATCCAAACACTGAGTTAAAAGAGTTGAAATGGTCCTTTTTCCTTGACCACATTTGGGAAACTGTGTTTTGTTTCCTGTCAGAGCCATTATGTTGTGTTTGAATGTCTGTTGTAATTACATTTTTTGACTCTGGGTGTCACACCTGCTGGCTGGTTGATCTAGAATGATGAGGATTGAAGAGCAGTTAAGTAGTATTTTAATAGAAACCAAGAAACAAACAGGGATAATCTAGTAAACAAACGAAGATAACATCCAGAAGCTATAGTGGTAGTGGGAGACAGGTGAGACTCTAATCAATTAGACAATGAAACAATCATTGACTGCAGCAACCATAGATATCCATAATAAAGGCTAGATGTCTCGTCCGCGCTGCTGGCCAATGGAGGTCGACGTCCGCACTGGCGGCCATCTTGTCACAGGCAGCTCGCTCACTCGTAACATTGTGTTTTAATGGTGCATGTACTTTTTAAACAACCATAACTTGCTAAATTTTCTACCGATTTTCAAACGGTTTGGTTTGTTATAAACGTCAGAGATGTAGTTATGACACTGCATAGCCTACTTATGAATAAGTGTATAAATAAATAATCATTCAGAATTATAGCCACGTTAATAAATAAGAATATCAAAATAAAAGTCCATGGACCCAGACACAGAACTGGCGTGTCTAATTAGTATATAGGTAGCCAGAAAGTAAGAGAAGTCAGGCGTAATGGAGGGAAGCACAACCATTTTTGACCATGGTTGTGTTCGAAATTGCCTCCTATACCCTCATTCACTATTCCCTACATTAGTCTACTAATATAATTCACTTGGAGGAGTGATTGAAAATGAGTGAGTGAATTTGGACAGAGTGCTCCGGAAGGGATGCCGCTTATGTGCGTTTGTGCTTGCTATTTAATAATCATTTGAAACTTATAGCAAACTGGCAGCTTCAGTAGTAATGAAAATATTTATCTTGAATTCTGTCATAGAAACTAATGTATAAACTTTATTGAACTATTTAATAATAAATCAGAAAGGAATTAATACCTGATTAATATTACGCTGTACCCACATTGGACCAGCGGTTTGGAAAATGGATAGATGATGATTCAGCTGCGGGCGCCATTTTCTGGTGAGACGTGGGCGTGTACGCGGCACACGTGTCTCACAGTGCGTTATGGGTATTCTCTAGCCATTGAACAAGCATGCGCCGGTTGTACCATAGATATATATGTTTATGGGTGGTACACTCTTTATTGTGGTGCATTATGGGATTGAATAAGTGCACTTGATAAAGTCCACTATGGTTTCAATTCGGACACCACTACAAATGGCTGTCCCAACATTATTATTTTTTTGCGAGTTTGGACATAGCCCATGTCAGGACATGAGCAGGTGGAAGCAAGTTTATGGGTTTTTGTGCATCGGAACTGTGAGTTTAAGAGGACCTTTACGGGCTTTGTGATAAATAAAGTTGATAAACGCAGTACTGGAATGGAAGCGTTTCTTGTCTGGATCTCATGCGTCTGAGTGACTAAATGGTTATTTATGTCACTTCATTTCCATTTGATGCTCTACTGGAAATGATTTGTTTGCAGCAATCATCATTATCACTGGATGTCTGGTGGCATTAAGAATACGAGACGTGATATTTTATCTGTCACCTTAAGCCGCCCTTAATGGCAGCCATGTGTGATGGAAAGACTTCATGACAATTTCATTCTATTTCTGTCATTATAATTTCATTGCCTGTTGTTTTCATTTGACAATGTGGAATGGCAACTACATACTATTTTGGGGAGAATAGGGTGCAAAAATGCTGTGTCCTACAATGCAATGCGCTCAACTTAATACAAAATTTCTAGTTTGATGGGGAAAAAATCATGATGTCCTTGACTTTAATTGGATTAATAATGAAAAATAACATTATTAATATTATATATAGTAGTGTAATGCAAAATAACATTTTAATAATATTTAAAAAAAATTATATTGCAAAATTATACTTTTTATATTATATTAATTTATATTATATTAATTATATTTTATATTATTGTAAATTATATTATAATGTTAAATAGTATTTGCATACACTACTGTTCAAATGTTTGGGGTCAGTGCTTTAAAAAAAAGAAATTAATACTGCTATTCAGCATGCGTTAAATTGATAAAAAATTTACATTTAAGGCATTTACAATCTTTTAAAAGATTTAAAATATGTTCTTTTTGAATGTTCTATTCATCAAAAAATCCTGATAAAAAACATTAAGCAGCACAACTGTTTTCATCATTGATAATAATCATAAATGTTTCTTGAGCATCACATCATATTAGATCACAGGAATAAATTACACTTTACTATACATTCACATATTGTTTTTCACAATATTAGTGTTATATTACTGTATTTTTGATTAAATAAATGCAGCCTTGGTGAGCATAAGAGACTTCTTTTAAAAAACATTAAAAAAAAACAAAGACTGCAAAATTTTGAATAATATAATATAATATAAGAGATAAACATTTAGTAAAGCAGAATTCAACAGAAAGTACTCAAAAACAGTAACAAGTATTTTACTGTTATTATCCACCCCAGATGTTCTCCATCAGTGCCATTGTGGTTTATCTCTGAAGTCGTCACCTCAAAGACTTACTCATGGTGTGACCAATGAGAACCCGATGAATTAATTTAGTAGGGTGTCCTCTAGATTAACAGAAGATCATTTCCTTTCTTCTCAAGTTTCCTTTTCTCGTGTGACTCTGAGAGCTAATGAAAGTCAGGCCGCACATCTCAGAACGGATCACAGCAGAAGATTTGCCAGCGTTTTCTTCCAGGACCCTACAGGTGACCCGAGCTTACCTGCCTAAATCATTAAGCACAAACCTCTGATCTGAACCTGGAGATTTATGTTGGTTTTGGGATTAAAGGGTGGAGTGGTGCCGCTGTGGGCCTAAACCAGATGATGCAGGGCAGTAAACATGGGCTTTTAGTGCTTTGTGTGCGCATAAGTGGAGAAAATGAAAAAGATAGGAAGCTTTAATCATAGCAAGTAAAAAGCAGGGCAAAGTTGGGCAATATTGAATAACAACATATGACAGACTGAAAGAGAACCAAGAGGGAGAAAACAAGAAAAATGATGGAGAATGTGATGTTCTTGCCAGGCCGTGGTGTTTTCCAGACCACAGACCCCATTCCTTAGGCCATAATAACTGTTTACTCCAGTTTTATGATGCCTTTATTATGTCCCCTTTAAAAAGACAAACATGGATTATAATTTGGTTTAGCTTACAAAAATGTTGAATAAATACTCGTAAGCACCCACCTCTGCACTCTATTTGTTCCGCTTTGGCTCCAGTGTCATTTTGCAGCTCTTCTGTGAGAAGGACACTACATACCACCCTGAAGCTCCTCTGTTGTTGATTTCGAATCTTAGTCAAACCAGACATGAACATTTGAAGCACTGTTAGAAACTTGACGCACCATTCTCAGGTTATGAGCTGTCAGCCAGAAACTGACCACTAACACAACAGTTATACAAAAATGAATCCTTGCTTTTAGGATGTAGAATTAAAACTAAGGCAATAAAGTCAATATAAATATATCATTTAAAAAATATAATAATAATATTATGATGATGAGGCATTTATGTGAATACTGCATTTTACTTTATTTTATTTTATTATTTTTTTTCCTGGCAGTGAGAAGGGGGTGAGGTAAAATATGTTATTGCAAAAATAAAACAAATGTGTACATGCTTGTAGGCTGTATATATTTGTATAGGAGAAAGTGTGTTTAGATGCTGTAACTGGTCATCATTTGTGCTTTTTAATAAACTCAAGGTATTCAGGTATTTGTCACATTGTTTCTTTAGATTCCCATATACATCCACACAAATCAGTAAACAGAAGTTTAATTTTGCTTATTAATTCGGAAAATCAATCTATAGGGAATGCCCAGTTCAAATGGATTTTGTAAGTCAATCCACAGGACTCAATAATTGGTGACAAATTAGTAATTTGAGACATTCTTGTGTAAATTTACAGCAAGTCATTTTTTTTAAAATAGTGCCCTATTAGATAATGCTAATATAATTAAACAGTATTTCTATTAACATTGTTTGTTTTGACATGTTTCACATATTTCACAGTTGAAGATGAGGACAGCCATAGCAGGATCATTTTCATATTTTAATTGATTTCTTCAAAAAAAAATGAAGATTCATTTCAATTTTGAAAAAAAAAGTCATTTCTATAAGTGCTGATGTAATAAAAATGTCACCCGGGCTGTGTTTTGGACTTGACGGACATGTTGACATCGCCAGACTGAATTGTTAATGCTTTACATCAGTAATGAACATATATGACTCAAAATCTGCTAAGGGGTAATTAAATGTAACAAATCATTTAAAAATGTATCGTCTTTTATTGAAAAATTAAACAATTGTATCAAAATTTTATACGAATGAGAAGAAAATGATCAACTCCATTTGATAAAAATCACCTGTCAAGTTTATAATATATATTAGATCAGCATATGAGTCAGATTGGACGACTACAGGGACTCATCTATTGCTAACAGCTCATCTATTGCCAAAATTATGAAAAAAAGATCATGTCAGATATGTCAATGTCAGAATCAGAGTGCATAAAAATATCCGTCAAAAACCAACACGTTAAACAGTTGGATTGGGATTTTCCCTTTAGCATGCAGTGTGAAGTATTTCACTCAGTTCCCTGATCCTCCCGATTCAATTTCAGCGAGTGAAGAACAAATTTATTCTCCTGTGCTGCATTATGTATCACGTATGTTATCATCTCTGACAGACAGTATGTTGAAGCTGCTCATTCTGCCATTTTCTTGGGAAGCGATGATGCAGTCAAAACATCCGGTGTGTTTTCCAGGAAATGCGTGGCTCGCTGGACCTCTTGTAAACACTAACGTGTATTGTGCATGTTATCTTTTGACAGACATCGATGATGTGATGTTTAAATGATGTGGATTTGAAAACAGATGGATCGTAATGGAATAATTATTTATTTCTTAGCTGGCAAGTATTCAGTGAAGTGATTGTAGTGATAGTGATAGTGATTTAAGTCACTAAATTTCATTTAGTGAGGCCAGCAGGGGGCGCTCACCCTGTGGTCTGTGTGGGTCCTAACGCCCCAGTATAGTGACGGGGACACTATACTGTCAAAGAGCACCGTCCTTCGGATGAGACGTTAAACCGAGGTCCTGACTCTCTGTGGTCATTAAAAATCCCAGGATGTCTTTCGAAAGAGTAGGGGTGTAACCCCGGCATCCTGGCCAAATTTGCCCAGTGGCCTCTGTCCATCATGGCCTCCTAATCATCCCCATGTATATATATACCAATTGGCTTCATCACTCTGTCGTCTCTCCACCAGTAAGCTGGTGTGTGGTGAGCGTTCTGGCGCACTATGGCTGCCGTCGCATCATCCAGGTGGATGCTGCACATTGGTGGTGGTTGAAGAGATTCCCCCTTCCATGTGAAGCGCTTTGAGTGCCTAGAAAAGCGCTATATAAATGTAATGAATTATTATTATTATTATTATTGATGCCCATGAGTGTGTTTATTTCGATGTTATTAGCTCTAATATTCCAACCGAAAGCCAGCCTATAGGTTTTGGTGGACGACTAATAATAATAATAATAATTCATCACATTTATATAGCGCTTTTCTGGACACTCAAAGCGCTTCACATGGAAGGGGGAATCTCCTCAACCACCACCAATGTGCAGCATCCACTTGGATGATGCGACGGCAGCCATATTGCGCCAGAACGCTCACCACACACCAGCTTACTGGTGGAGAGGAGACAGAGTGATGAAGCCAATTGGTATATATATACATGGGGATGATTAGGAGGCCATGATGGACAGAGGCCACTGGGCAAATTTGGCCAGGATGCCGGGGTTACACCCCTACTCTTTCGAAAGACATCCTGGGATTTTTAATGACCACAGAGAGTCAGGACCTCGGTTTAACGTCTCATGCGAAGGACGGTGCTCTTTGACAGTATAGTGTCCCCGTCACTATACTGGGGCGTTAGGACCCACACAGACCACAGGGTGAGCGCCCCCTGCTGGCCTCACTAACACCTCTTCCAGCAGCAACCTGGTTTTCTCAGAAGGTCTCCCATCCAGGTACTGACCAGACTCAGACCTGCTAATGGACTGGACGTGATAACCTGCATGAGGAGTGAACTATCTTTGATATTTTCTAATTATGCAACGTGCTGGAGAGTGGGGACTTTTGAAAAGCTTTTTGCGTAGTTCATTATACTTATTTTATGGAATGAAGTTTATTTCATGGCTTGAAAAAATGACATCACTCAGAGACTAACATGTTTGGCTTGTCAAAAGTGTTACATTCAGCTGTCGCAAATTTATTCACTTTTTAAAAAATCAAGTTTTAACCAGGAAAGTAGTGGTTTTGATGCACAATGTATGCTAGTTTTTATTATCTCTTATAACACAAATCTTTTAAACCCATGAAAATGCAGATCCTGTTGTAAATAATGGTGAATAATCACTTTTTAAAACTGTTGATCCATTAGCAGATTTTGACTTAAATGGTTTCTACATTATTGAACTTGAATATGATTCACTATATGATATGGTTTTATCTTGACAGATAAAAGGAAAAATGAAAGGATAGAAGAAAGAAGAAAGACACAGAAACATTTGAAGCTCTCGCCCGTCACAGAACCTCCATGGGGAATGTAAAATTCTGGAACGGAAGACACTTTTATTCCCTTTCTTAGTAATATATGTAAACAGTTTTTTATAAACAAAATATTTTTGTATAAATGTTTTAATTGTAATATTACTTAAATCATCAGACAATCTGATATTGCACAACTTTTTTAATGCAGATGTATTTGTTTACATTATTACGGCAGATCCTAACCTGTATTTATGCATTTATTTTATTAACAAGTTGGGGAGGGTGGCTTAAACCTGTATGTGGTTTAACAAAGACTAGATCCATGTTGGACTATGACACTGTACATTTCCATCTGATGAGTAACAGACGAACAGCTTCATGTGGTTTGAGCTGTATCTCCACAGATTTCTGTACATGCCTCGGGCTGTTCTGTGTTTTCCAACCACATACTCTCCCTATATTTGCACTTCTTTACTATAATTGTATTAGAGATAAAAAAAGAGAGACATGGAACAATGTAAAGTTGTGTAAAGAGATGCCAAGATCATGAACTTGTGCTCCATTAATTCAAGGTGCATTCACGGCATGTTGTAATTACGTGATCTTAGCTTGCAAAAAGCGTCCTCGTAGAGCTCGTAATTACAACTTGTAAGCTGGGAATTTCGAATAGCTCCTACTTGTACCACATGACCCGCTGGGTCACCTGACTGCTGCTGATTAATTTAGCCGTTGATATTGCTGCCAAAGAAATTCATACTTCCCATTCTGATAACGTGAACAGAACGTCACGTTGTCATCTCATAGTTGTGGTACGTACGACATGGCGTGAACGCAGCATCATTCCAGTAGATATATATACACAGATGCCTCATTCATAGCTGTTTCTATGGGGCTCTACGTAAGCCGTCCGCCATGTTGGAATGGGGAAAGGTGTGTGAACATTCGAGAGCAAGTTAACTGAGCATCTGCAACCATAGTTAGACTCATTTATGAATATCTATATATGAAATAGACTTCAGCAGATGATTTTGCTAAACTAAAACAATACAACAAGATACAAGTGCCATGTCACATCGGAATTGAGCCATGTGATTGGCTCTGGAGATGTCATGTGACCTAATGTGTGGGACAGGTTTATTCGTAATAAAAGTGATAAATTCATTATTTTCTTGTAAATTCCTAAGATAACTTGGCACCAGTGTGCATTCTTTGTCTAAAGACTGAAATAAAAATATTGTCTGAAATTAAAAAATTGCATTATTTTCTTAGAGCCTCAACTGTACCGTTAAACTCATTGTGTCATTTTTTCCCCTTTCGTAACTGATTATCGTCCCCCTGTGAAAACTGAAATGTTGTACAACATGTTGCTTTTGATTTGAGATGGATGGGAATGTGCTGAATTGAATATGATTTATTTGCACTTTCATCTACTCTCTCAATGGTTGAATTGTATTTACTGGAAAAATCACAGTTTTGCTCTCTAAAGCTATTAGCCCCAAAGGAAGATTTGAAGGAGTTATGAAAATGATACTGATAAGAATGGGATATTGTATTGTATTATGAGACTGCCAAGTTATTTGAGAATAAAAGCCTTTTCTGAAGAGGATTGCAGATGTTAACCTTGACTTTTGTATTTTAACTCATTTGTATTTTTGCTATATACATTAACAACTAATGAATTATAATGCCAATGACATTTTTATGTCACCTTATTAGTTTTTGCTGAATCATGAATCGTTTTGTGTTTGATAATTGTTTAATAAATTTTTGTTGAAGAACCAATAATGCGTTTTAAATGCACACATAGTGATTTTTTTGTTTTTATTTTATTTATTTTTTATATTTCAAAAAGAATATTTTTCTCATGTTAGTGTCAATAAACAGAAGCTTCTTATAGTGGCATCTCTGTGCATTTAGTGTGACAACATATAAAGTCAATATGCATTTCCTCTGCGATTTCAGGAAATACATAAAAACTGACTTTTATAAAAGAGAAATATTCGCTGGAGTAAAAACTAACCCTGGCCTCCCCTTATACATGTCAATTACCATTAGTGTGTATGTTTCAGACAATTTCTAAATTGTTTGGTGATCTATAATAATCCAAATCAACCATAACTGTATAACTTTGAAAGAAAATCTATTATTTTTTTGCATTAAACTAGGATTGAATAGCATAGATCTGGTTTTAGGGTCCTGTTTTTTAAAGGGCAATGCTCAGAGCATTATTTTATTGTTCCACAAATGAAGAAACAACGATTTACCAGGCCTTGCTCTCAGTGTCTCATTGTTCCATATTCATGCACTAGATGGCAGGCAGGGTTCACCTGAAAAAAATACATATACATTAAAGTCAATCTTCTGTTGGAAATGAACATCATACTGGAGGCACTAGGTTCAGAGGTCATCCTCTCAGCTCAGGGTCACCAGCTCCCAATGAAACTTCACAACAAACCTTAAACATCTCTGTGGGAGTCTCGGAGAAAACATGCCAAATACAATGTGAAGTGACACATTATATGATGTGCTGTGAGCTTGATGCTGAGCGAACAGCTTCAAACCTGACACATGTCTTCTTAAGAATGCAAACACCCTCTTTTTTCTAAGATTTATGAGTCCATATGATTAAAGCGCCTCTGGGTGAACTGTTATCAGTGGTGTTTTCTATAAGAGAAGCATTGCTTAGGGCTATGTTATTGCTCTAACAATATTTGCTACAACAATGAATGATACGGTCTAAGTTGCGTTTATTCAGCTGTCTCCAAATTGCTCAGATGCCTGTAACCTTTTAACCCTACACACACATGCACACACCCATCATCTGTTAATTGTCAACAAACTCTGCAATTAATAAACACCCTAATTTAATACATGTTTAAAATGGTAGTTCAGGAGTTCTGGACGGTTACAGTATTAGGGGTTGCTCAATGTCTCAATTTCCTAGATACTGTGTCTATAGATATGACCTGTATTTTTTTAGTTGTTTGTTTATTATTATTCATTTTATTATCCACCAGATTTTAATATTTCAATACCTTCATGTTCACTGCTCTCTGGTGTAGGTTAAAGGTCACATGACATGCAGGTAAACAAATAATCTTTTTTGTTGTTGTTATTTAATCTTTTTTTAGTCTTTTATTTTTTATATTGTTCAAAAAGGGAGAGACCTCAGCGAACGAATAATATGAACAATACGAGAAGGAATGATTTGTTTACTTAAATGATTCGTTCAAAAGCACAGATTCGCTCACAGATGAAGCAATTCTGCTTTATACCCATAGAGCATTTTTCTTGAGCGATTTTTTTGTTTTCTACAGTTAAAGTGAAGGTGAATGCTAAATTACCATACAGGCCTACTTAACTTATTCATTGAAGGAAATAGATTATAGGCCGCTGAAATTTCATAGAAAGTAGCTAAAGCAATCAAATGTTTGGAATCTTTTAAAGTTTGATATTTTTGAAAGAAGTCTCTAATGCTCCCTAATGCTGGATTTATTAGATTTTGTGCTCAAGAAACATTTTTTATCATTATCAATGTTGAATATGGTGTGGAACCTTTTTTCCGACTTTTCTCGGAATTCTGACTATTTATTCCTCTGAATTGCGTGATACAGGCTAAACTCGCAATTGCTAGTCATAAAGTCAGAATTGTGAGCTATAAACTCGCAATTCTGAGAAAAATCTGTATTTTTTCCCTCAGAACTGGACTTTATAAATCTTTCTTTTTGAAGAATAGAAAGTCAATAGGACCAGCATTAATTTGAAATATAAATCTTCTGTAGCATTATAAAAGTCTTTACTGTCATATTTGATCAATTTACTGTGTCCTTGCTGAATAAAAGTATTTGTTTCTTTTAAAACAGAAAAACGTACTTATACCTCAAACTTTGAACAATATATCACAGTTTCCACAAAAATCAACACTGATAATAATAAGAAATGTTTCTTGAGCAGCAAATCAGCATATTAGAATGATTTCTAAAGGATCATGTGACACTCATTTATTACAGATCTACTGTACAGCCGAAACAAACTTTGTTGTGTTATTTTCCTGTTATCACTGTATAGCTGTTTTGAAAATAACCTGTATTGTAAAAAGCGCTATATAAATAAAGGTGACTTGACTGAAGACTAGAGTAATGATGCTGAAAATTCATCTTTGATCACAGGAATAAATTACATTTTAAAATATATTTTAAAAGAAAACATTTATGTCTTGGACACTCGGGTGAAGAGAGGGGCGGAACTGTCAACTGATCACCACCTGGTGGTGAGTTGGATCCGATGGCGGGGGAGGAGGCTGGACAGACTCGACAGACCCAAACGTACTGTGAGGGTCTGTTGGGAACGTTTGGCCGGGTCCCCTGTCAGAGAGATCTTCAACTCCCACCTCTGGCGGAGCTTCGACCGGATCCCGAGGGAGTCTGGACACTTTGATTCCGAGTGGACCATGTTCTCCAGCTCCATTGTCGACGCGGCCACTTGGAGCTGTGGCCGTAAGGTCTCCGGTGCCTGTCGAGGCGGCAATCCCCAAACCCGGTGGTGGACACCGGAAGTAAGGGATGCCGCCAAGCGAACTGCAGCCCGGGTGGTTGTGGAGGGAAAAAAATCGGGCCTGGGAGGAGTTCGGTGAGGCCATGGAGAATGACTATTGGTTGGCCTCGAAGATATTCTGGCAAACCGTCCGGTGCCTCAGGAGAGGGAAGCAGTCCCCTATCAACACTGTTTACAGTGGAGGTGGGCAGCTGTTGACTGGGGATATCGTCGGACGGTGGAAGGAATACTTTGAGGATCTCCTCAATCCGACCGACACGTCTTCTATTGAGGAATCAAAAAGGCAGAAGGCTCAGAGAGGGACTCGTCCATCACCCAAGCTGAAGTCACCGAGGTAGTTATGAGATCCGCCCTGAGTACCTCAAGTCTCTGGATGTTGTGGGGCTGTCTTGGCTGACCCGCCTCTGCAGCATCGCGTGGTGGTTGGGGACAGTGCCTCTGGACTGGCAGACCGGGGTGGTGCTCCCTCTTTTCAAGAAAGGGGACCGGAGGGTGTTTCAACTACAGGGGGATCACACTTCTCAGCCTCCCCGGGAAAGTCTATGCCAGGGTACTGGAGAGGATAATTCGGCCGATAGTCGAACCCGGGATTCAAGAGGAACAGTGTGGTTTTCGTCCTGGTCGTGGAACACTGGACCAGCTCTATACCCTCTCCAGGATGCTGAAGGGTTCATGGGACTTTGCCCAACCAATCCACATGTGCTTTGTGGATATGGAGAAGGCATTCGACTGTGTCCCTCGTGGCGTCCTGTGGAGGGTGCTCTGGGAGTATGGGGTCCGTGACCCTCTGTTAAGGGCTGTCCGGTCCCTGTACGACCGGAGCAGGAGCTTGGTTCGCATTGCCGGCAGTAAGTCAGACTTGTTCCCGGTGCATGTGGGACTCCGGCAGGGCTGCCCTTTGTCACCGGTTCTGTTCATAATTTTTATGGACAGAATTTCTAGGCGCAGCCAGGATTGGATCGGTGCAGCTTCTGCAGTCCGGTTGATGTACCGGTCTGTCGTGGTGGAGAAGGAGCTGAGCTGCAAGGCGAAGCTCTCGATTTACTGGTCGATCTACGTTCCTACTCACACCTATGGTCATGAGCTGTGGGTCATGACCGAAAGGACAAGATCTCGTATACAGGCGGCCGAAATTAGCTTTCTCCGCAGGGTGGCGGGGCGCTCCCTTGGAGATAGGGTGAGGAGCTCAGTCACTCGGGAGCAGCTCAGAGTAGACCCGCTGCTCCTCCACATCGAGAGGAGCCAGCTGAGGTGGCTCGGGCATCTGTTCCGGATGCCTC